TGGCTCCGCGAGCGGCCCAGCCCGCGGCCGCCACCTACCTGTGCTCCTGCCTGAGGCAGAGAGCGGCGGGCGGCACCTCGGTAGCGGGTCCCCGCTCCAGCCGCACAGCTGATGGGGAAGCGACTCGGCACCCCGGGCACAAAGCTGGAGAGGGCAGGACACAGAGAGGGTGGCAAGAAGGACGGGGCTAGGGGCGACCTGGCGCCGTGGGACCGCGGGACCGGCGGGGCAGGGGGAGGGCTGGGCCGGGGAGGCGCGCGTGCGCGGGACCGGCATGAGGGGCGGGGCCGACGGGGGCGGGGCCTACATGTGGGCGTGGTCGGGCGGGGGCGGGGCCCGGCCGGCCTCGGGACGCAGGGCTGCGAGCACGCAGGCTGAGTACTGCGCGTGCGTGCCCGTGTGGGGGGCGGGGTCCCTCTGTCCCCTGAGTCTCGTAGTCCCCCGGGACGGGAAGGCGAGCATTTCGGGGTGGGTAGGCCTGAGGAAAGGCGCGCGGGCGGGGTTGCGCAGATGAGCCCACGGAGAGAAGGGAGCGAGGTGCGCGTGCTGGGACTGCGCGGAGGCGGGGCAAGGGGCGGTGCCGGCCGGGCGCGGGGCTGCGATCTGGTTCTGACGGCCCCGGAGCTACCCTGAGGCTCAGGCGAGCAGGGCGGCGGGGGAGGGCTGGGAGGGAGGCGGGGGAGCCTGCCTCGTTGCTCCCTCGGCCTGAGGCGCTGGACCCCCGCGCGAAGCTGTTTGAGACCCAAAGTAGTGCTTTGACTCAAAAAAGGAAAAACAGTTGCGGGTCGAAGTTAATCTACCAAAGTGTAAGATGTCGGCTGCATCGTAGCCCGTGTGGTTAAGAATCACATCTAAGGTCGAGGCTGGTGCGTTTATAGGTGGCGTAGCCTTAGGGGCGAGCGGCGGAGGCTCCGCGGGGCCTGCAACGCGCAGGGCCTGGGTGGAGTCGGGTCGGAGCACCCCCTTTCCAGCTGCGGGCCTGGCGCGGGGGCGGGCGGGAGCGGGGCTGGGCGGGGCGCCGCTCTCTAGCTGACGCCAGAGTTTTCAGCGGAGGATGCGGGCAAGGCTGTGAGGAGTCCGGCTGTAAGAACGCCAGGACCCGGGGGCTCTGCAAGGACAAGTCAGCAGAGGATTTGGTCCAGAGAGGGATTGGGAAGGGCCTGTGAACCGGAGAGGAAACCTGGCTAAAGGTGCGACATGGGGAAGTCCAGGGTCACAAACTCAAAAAATGGGAAAGATGGCAACCTAAAGTGTACAGCCTTTGGTAAACAGAGGCTCTGAGGGATGCATGTTTATTTAGAGCAAAGTATCTCGGGCTTAGAGGACACCCCAGAACCCGTGTTGGAGCTGTGGAAATAGCGGTATGTGCTGACCTGTTCCATGGGTCCCTTTGGGATTGATTTGCCTTTTTCTCATTAATTGGAACAGAAGAACCTTAAAGAGAACCCCAGCCTTTCTTCCCCTTGTTTGTATTTTAAGTAATTCTACCCAGTAGGGAATAGGAATGGTACTGGTGGATGTGGGAGATACCAAATGAGTCGTGTGTCAAAACAGTTGTTTGATTCCCTCAGACGATTTAAGTATAGGAGGCAAGAAAGGAACTGATGTGTTATATTTAATTCTCCCTGGACATTTCTGTCCACGTGAGAAATCAAGAATACATATACACTTTACAATATTTGCCTGTTTTGAGGCATTCAAGTCAGTTCAGTACACAGTAATATACAGTGTTTCACATGTCACAAATTTGCATGTAGTGCTTGCCCCAAGGCCGAGCATCAACTCTTATCAGTTCAGCTCTAGTTTATGCGTAAGGGAGCACCATATTTTTAAAAAAGTTCTCTCAAATTTCCAACCCCCGCATTTTTGCCCTCAAATGCGTTACTGCAGAGTTTTCCCACCTTTCCACTATGTATACTTTAGGCCAGGTAATTATCTGGGGATGAGGCTATCCTATGCATGATGTACTGAGCACCATTCTTCCTAGTACCCTTGTGACAGCCAAAACTATTCAGATATTGTCAGCTGTCCCCTGAGGAGCAAAGTTGCTGCAGGCCAATTGAGAGTTCCAGTGAGAACCGCTGAACTGCAGAGTAATTCAAATCCATTTTCTTGCCTAGAACACCTGGGTTCCAGCAATGTTCCTGCCTCAGCCTTCCAGGCGGCTGAGACCACAGCTGCACACTACTGTTCCCAGCTTTAGCTTGGCTTTTAAGGTCCTTCATTTTCTGTCCCAACCTACCTTTCCTTTGACTTGGCCTAAAACAGCCTCCAATGTAGGAATCATTTCTTTGATCTTTTCCGTAGATTATTACCTAGTCTTTGACACTTTCAGGAATGGAAAAGGTTTAAAATCTTTACTTTGGTTGAAAGCTCTTACATCTGACACCTTCGTGCTTAAGATTTATATTTATTGAATCTAACTCACTTTCATAGAGCTGTAAAACAAAAAGTATTATTTTGGGGGCTAGGGGCCAGACTGAGGCCCACCTGTACACTACACAGATGCTCTATCACTGAGCTACATCCCAAGCCTGAAAAACATTGCTGAGTGTGATGGTGCATGCCTGTAATCCTAGCACTCAGAAGGCTGAATAGGGAGAATAGCTGTGAATTCAAGGCCAGCCTGAACTGCATAGTGAGACCCGGTCTCAAAATCAAAAAAAAAAAAAAAAAAAAAAAATTCCAAATACTGTATACAAGTGGTACCTCGGTTCACGAATTTAATTGTTTGTATGATTCTGTTCACAAACCAGATCCAACAAGAACTAAATCAAATTTCAGTGGTTAGGTTCAATGCTGACCTTGTTAAATTTGATTCAGTTTCCATCCAATTCAGTTTGTGACCAGAATCATGGAAAGAATTAAGTTTGTGAAGCAAGGTACCACTATAGTTACATTTCGCACACCATATGGTCTCAACCTCAGTCCCAATCTCTGTCTCTCTCTTTTTTTCTCTCTGTGTCCCCCCCCCCCCTTCAGTATGAGGATTCAACCCAGAACCATAAAGAGCTACATGCCCAGCCATTTTGTTATTTTTCACTCTGACACAAGATCTTGTCAAGTTACTTCATTGCCTAAGCTGGGGTTCAACTTCCCTCCTCCTGCCTCAGTTTCCCAGAGAGCTGGGATTACAGGTGTGCACCACTGTGCCCAGCTCCAAATTATCTCTTATTACAGGCCTTGCTCTTTCAGCTTTCTTCCTGTAACATGGTTTTTAAAGCATTGTGAACTTTTGTGGGGAGATTGTTCATTTTGCTTTTAGGGATTAAACTCAAGGCCTCAGTCATGCTAAGATATACCCCCAACCCCCACGAGCTTTTTACTCTCCTCTGAACAGTATCAAGCCTGAGAATGTGCTGCCTCAAGGTATCATACCCTAGCTGGGTATGGCGGCACATGCCTATCATCCCAGCTACTACTTGGGAGACTGAGCCAGGAGGATTAGGAGTTCAAGGCCAGCCTGGACAATTTAGCAAAATCCTATCAGAAAAGTCAAAGAACTTACCCAGAAGTGAACACAGTATTCTGGATGTGAGTCACAGCACATTAGCATAAAGCATGTTGCATTATTAGTTGCATGCTTGTCCTTAATTGACTCAGGTTAAAGACAAAAACCAGGTCTCCGTCACTTAAATTGCATTCATCTTTGTGTTACTAGCTCAGTGCCTGGCCCTTAGGCCAAAAGGGCCTTAGAGTTCAACATTTTTGATGGAATGTAGTATTTCCTGTAACTTCCTTTTCTTTTTGTTTTTGTTTTGTTTTTTGGTTTTTTGATGTTAGGAATCAAACCTGGGGCCTCTACCTCTATTCTGAGCTATACTTCAGCCCAACTCAATATAATCTAAAATAGTATTCTTGGGGCTGGGGATTTAGCTCAGTGGCACAGCGCCTTCCTAGCAAGCACAAAGTCATGAGTTTGATTCCCAGTACCGGAAAACAACAACAACAACAAAATAGTATTCTTTTACCTTTGGGAACAAGTATAGTACACTGTTGCTTTATATTAACATTGTGATTAAATTGATAAGTTTTGTACGTCAGTATGAAGAGTCAGCAAACTGGATGTGGTGGCGCATACCTGTAATCCCAGCACTTGGGAGGCTGAGGCAGAAGGACTACTGGAGGCCAGCCTAGGGTACATAGTGAGACCATGTCTTTAAAAAAAAAAAAAAGAACAATCTTTTTGTAAAGGGCAAGATAGTGTTTTAGGCTTTATGGACATATATGTTATAGCTGTTCTGTCACTGTAGCAGAAAAACAGCTGTAGATGGTGAGCATAACTGTATTTCCAAAAAAACTCAACCTGATTTCCAAAAAAACTTATTTGTGGTCATACGAAAACTGATGGCTGGCCTCAAATTTGTGGCAGTCCTCGTGCCTCAACCTCCCATGTGCTGGGATTACAGGCCTGTGCCACCACACCCAGTTGTTTTTATTCTTCTCCTTTTTCAGCCTTTTCCAGATTGAGTGTTTTCATGATATTCTATTTTTTCTCCTCTATTGGCCTTTATCTTAGTCCATTTTGCGTGTCTGTAACAAAATACCTAAAACGGGGTAATTTGCAAAGAAAGCAGGTTTATTTAGTTTGCCATTCTGGAAGACCAAGAACATGGTGCCAACATCTGCTTGGCTCTTGGTGAGAATAGCATGTGGGAGAAAGAAAGGTCACGTGGCAAGAGTGGAAGTAAGAGGACAGGGAGGGACCCGGGCAGGTATATATCTCAACCTGATTTCGCAGAAATGAGTCCACTCTGTTGGACCTACCTCCCTTGGTGATCCCGCCGTTAATTCCCTTATGAGTACAGTTAGGACCCCATTGCCTGCCACTAAACGCCACCTTTTAAAGGTCCCACACCCCTCAGTACTCACATTGAGGATTAAGCGTCCAGCACAGGAACATTTGGGGGACAAACCATACCCAGTTCTTCCAATTTCTCTGTTTTATTCTTGCTAGTGGTTTCCCTAACCCACTCCTAAGAGTATAGCATGCATCTTTAAAGTCCTCATCTTGAATTCAGGTATCACTTCATTCAATGTAAACTTTACTAAAGCACTCTGTAAGTGGTTTCTTTACTCTTTTATTACCTTTTGTAGTATTATTGTATTATTACTTCTGTATCTATTAAATCCCTAAAATTGCTGGCCCCCCACCCCGCCACAGGGCTAGGGATTGAATCTAGGAAACACTAAGCTACATCTCCAGCTCTTTTATTTCTTGTTTTGTTTTGTTTTTGAGATGGCATGTGGCTAAGTTGCCTGTGCTGGCCTTGAACTTGCAGTGTTCCTCCTTCAACCTCCCAAGTAGTTAGGATTACAGGCATGCACCATCACACCTGGCCAAAATATTTTTACTGGATATAGAAATCTATCATTTTTCTTTCAGTACTTTGAAGATGTCATTCCATTGTCTTTGGCTTCCATGATTTCTGATGAGAAATCAATTTGAATTCTTAACTGCTCTACTGTAGTGTATTTTTTGTATGACTGCTTTTTCTTTCATTTTCTACAATTGACTTCTTCCTTGGTTGAATCTCCTTTGTATTTATTTATTTTTTTACTTTTTTTTTTTGAGACAGGGCCTCACTATGTAGTTCAAATTGGCCTTGAACTCACCGTGTAGCCCAGGCTGGCCTCAAATTTGTGGTAATCCTCCTGCCTCAGACTTCTGAGTGCTAGGATTATAGGCAGGCACCGTCACACCTGGCCTTCTTTGTATTTATTTAGTTTCGAGTTCGTGGAACTTCTTGTATTTTGGGACAATTTCAACTATATCTCTTCATGATTTTTAAAATATTATTTACTTTCTCTTATTTTTCCAGGACTTTGATTACGTGTATTTCAGATTAGTCTGATACTGTTTCAC